CCACTTTATATGCTCCACTTTAGTATCTTGAATAACTATTTGAATAACAACCTGTAATCATCAACTAGTGATTTCTTACTGTTTATTTTTTGCTTTGAAATTATGTATTATTTCTATCCATTTTCTGTTTTGTTTAGTCTTTCTTTAAATTCAGTTTTAAAAAGAAGACACTACAGTACCCAGTGCTGATCATGGAGTATCATGATGTGAAATCCAGCAATACTATTATTCTTTGTTCAGAATGATTTTAATCTCCTTTAGTTTGTTTAATCTAAACATAAATGAAGATATGGATAACTGCATGTATGTTTAAGTGTATAGGATTGACAACCATGTTACTAAGTTTTTGTTGGACAGTTGAACAGAACTTTTTGCAGTCTCTCTGTTTGAATTCCTACTTTACATGTTCCATTTTTGTACCTTGAACAACTATTTGTAAAATGATATCAACTAGTGATTTCTTACTGTTTATTTTTTTCTCTGAACGTATGTACTATTTCTACCTATTTTCTGTTTTATTTACCCTGTGAGTCACCGTGCAGGTGAGGGTGGCTGAGCAGGGGTAGAGCTAGCTCACAAGCCATCTCAGAGTCCTCTGCTGGGACAAGCTTGCTTGTCTGTTACCTAATCCCAGAGGGGGACTTACTCTGTGTTGCACGGCAGTTGACACTGGCGCAGAACAAAAGTCACACAGGGCTGCGTGTGAGTCCCCAGGGAACAGATCAGTTTTTGGGCCTGTGGTTGGTGAGCCTGTGACCAGGGTGTAATCTGTCTTTTTGATACAGCCCTTCCTGGCTGGTGCTCCCCCAGGGTTTTATAACCACCTACCTGGTTCCTGAGACCACAAAGACACCTTTGAAGGTAGTTGCCAAATTATTGCTGCCTAGGGGATCAGAGCTGGGGACACCTTTTCCACCAGCTTGTTGGCCAAATGTGAGCTGGATTTTGAAAGAGAAAGAGGAATTTTCCTGTAGACAGATGAAGAAGCCTGTGCAGAGCTGCAGAAATGTGAACCAAACCAGATTCCATGCCCATCGCATGCTCACTGTGTGAGCTTTGCACAGATCTGCCCCTCAGTTAACATTTAGCATAGAAGATACTGGATTTCTGAAATATCTTCTGTCTCGTAGTGTAAACTCCTGAAGAAAAATCCCCTCCATGCCACTTAGTTTTTCTAGAGAATTCCTTCTTTTGCTTAACTTTTGGTGACCAATATTCATTTGCTTGACTTTTAGGGCCGGCTGGAAAGAAAGACAGCACCAAGGGTGCTGTGGGTCACACATCACAGTGACCGTGGGATTGCTCTGATTATTGAGCCAGGCGGCTCTCGTTCACCAAGTCAAGTCAGAGATGTGCAAGGCGGTGTGTGTCTACGCTGCCAGTCAGGGTGAATGCTTATCCAAGTTCCATCAGGGATGTTGGAGGGGAAAGGTGTTCCCTGCACAATTCTGTCCAGGAAAGCCAATCGTCTTTGGTGACCACTACCTGCTGGAGCCCAGGACGTGTCTCGTTGGTTATGACACTTCAGAAATGGTTGCAAATGCATCCAATCCTTTTGTTTCTCCTTCCCAGGACAGAAATTATATTGGTGGCAGAGAAGGAAGCCACAAGGTGGCAGAGGTGGCTTGGAGTGCCATTCTCAGGAGACAGAATACAAGACGTCAGAGGGTTGTTGGGATGCGGGTGAAACCTGTGTCCTGTGTATATTCTATAATCGAATTACCTCACCGTCAACCCATTAGGGTGTGACCTGGTCATGTCACTACATAACTCCAGGAAAGCCAGGGTGATTTCTAGCATCATCTCTGAGCTTCATAGATCTCAAATTGTCCGGAGTTCCAGGCATGTGTGAAGCCAGTGGCCAGCACAGGGGCAGCACAAGGTGCTTGTCCCAAATCGAGCTGATTTTCTCCCTTCTGCCACAGCCAGGTCTTTCCCTCTTCACAACCTCTTTTCCTAGCAAGGACCCAGGAAGAGATCCTGGAGCTCCCCCTCTTTGTACACCCAGTGGGTTGAGCCCTCTCCATTCAGTCTTCTTGGCTCTCTCCTACCCCAATCCGTGTTCTGTGTCAGTTCTTAATTTTTCATATGGCTTCCTGCAGTAACCTCATAAGCAGATCTCTGGCTTTTAGTTTTATCCATTTACAGTTCCTTCCCTGGAGAAGCCAGCTGGATCTTTTAAAAGTGAATATCTGATCAAGGCACTTTATTGCATACAAACTTCTAAATGGCTTCTCCTTTGCTTTCCAAGATGAAACACCATCTCTGTAATGCAGCATGGATTAGACATTTCGGGCTTTGGCCCCGTCTCTCCTCCCTTCTCACTCTACCCTGACTGCTCCTTCTCCAGCCTCTGTTATTCTAAGTGCTAACAGTTAATGTCTACTGAGTTCCTGCCCTCAGCCATAACTATGCTGATACTCTGTATCATTATTTTCCAAACTTTTCCAATGATGCTTATCACCTGGGATCCTTGCTAAAAATACAATCCCTGGTCCTAATCCCAGATCTATTGACTCATAATCTTCAGGGACTTGGCTGGAAGCTTTATGTCTTCTTTTTAAAAAGGACCAGGGATAGGACTAATGGAGGAATTTGATAAAGCATTGTTTTATCTAAACTTTCATTTTAAAATGTAATGAAATGAGAACTGTTATTTGTCTCATTTTCAGATAGGAAAAAAATGAAGTTAAGGAGAGGACTTGTGATTCAAAGACACATGGCTGACTGATCATCAAAGCAGCCCAAACTGTACACCAATGGCCTGGCCTGCTTTTCTCACAGGTCAACCCATGCCTTGTGTTTATTCTTGATTATCCAGGCCTTTCCTGCAACTTACCATGGAAAATTATTTTCCCATCTTTGCTCTGAAATTGCTATTCATTTTCCTAGTTCAGTGCAGCCTCTGGAGTTCCTCACCTCACCAGTCTGGGTCGCTTGTTTTCCTGTGAACCATGCTGCCAGGAGGGGACACTGAACCCTCCTGCTGACCTGTCACCCTAGTGGGGGAAGGGCCCTCAGCCTACCCACCAAATGGGTAAAACTGCAGTGTCACTTGGAAAGTTCCTAGTGAAGATGCTGGGGTGGCTGGATTGGGGTCACTCCAGCTTAGAATCTGGTCACCCCCCACCAGTGAACTCGGCCATTGTCATTCCAGGGACATTTTAGGGAAGAACAAGAGCCCAGCCCATTCCTTCTCAAGTTCAAGGGAATCAGATATGTTACACACTACAGTAGGAGAAAGGACAAGGAAGCTTCCAGAAAGGAAGGCTTTCACAGGGGAAGGGAGTCTGAGCTGGTGAGGTGGTCTCCATTCCAGACTTCAGGCTGTCCAGTGTCTCCCCCACCCACACTCCCATTGTTGTGGACCTGCTTTGTGTAGGTTACAGGGAAGCAAAGTAAAACATGCATGGGATCAATGCTTCCATGTGGCCTCGGGCACCTGTCCCTACAGTGGTGTCAGTGATTGTGCTATGGCAAACAGAAACATGGAAGTGGCACACAGGGTTAGGATACAGATTTATTAATGCTGGACATTCACCTTAGGAAAAAAAATGTCAGGCCCTGATCCCTGGTGATCTAGGGCTTATATGGAGCTTGCAAGTGGGAAGTCCAGAAGCAGAGTACGTGGCCCTCTCTGATTGGTTCTTAGAGTATGCATCATAAATGACCAGCCACCCATCACAGTGACCAGCTGTTTCTGAGAAACAGGAGTAACAGGAACTGTAACAGGAACTGTTACCTGGGCAACTCACAAAAAATAACATATACTGGCTGGGAGGAGGGGCATTTTCTGCTACAGTTTAGACCAGGAGGCCTGGCTGGACCCCCAGTTCTGTGCACTAGAAGCTCTGTGTATCCCAGGACTCAAGCTGATGTTATCACCTGAGGCAGGGTGGGGCCTGGGCCCCAGAGTAGGAAGACTTGAGTGGCTTTGGGACACCTGCCTTCCTCTGTTGGGTGAGGCAGGGCCATGAGAGAAACCAAGTCAGAAGGTAAGACTGCCCAGCGGTCAGCAGGAGTTGGGCCCTTTCACAAGCCCGCACACTTCTTGGCTTCCCTTTTCTTATTGAAGGCAACAAATGAGCACAGACCTGCTGGTGGGGGTGAGCACGGTGATATTCATGGCAACAGTTATTTTGGGCAAGAGAAATTTGGGGAACCTAGATTTTTCTCCTAACTGTATATTCTTGGGTTTGCTATCATCATCTATTACCAAAAAAAAAAAAAAAGTTGTTGAGTTGGTGAGGATTGGAAATTTGGGTGATATAATCCAGTAATAAAAGTGATAAATTGAGGTAATATAATCCACTTATAAAGAACTTTGGAAACATGAAGTTCTTTCTCATGCAGGCTAGAGATAGTTCTGGGGTGACGTGAAGAAGGAGACCCCAGAGACCACAAGCAGAGACGTGTTTGGAGCTGAGTTCTGAGAAACGTTGTTTATTAGTCTGCATTTGTGGAACATGATTCCATTTTCCCATTTTCGGTCCATGAAAAGGTGCGTTAATTCTCCTTTCTCCCCTCCCCACCCCCCTCCCCTGCTCCTTCCAACTTGCTTTCACTGTTTTCTTTAGTTCTTTCCCCCCTCCGCTCCCTCCCCCTTCCTCTACCTTTTGATCCCCTCCCCATCTGCAAAAGATCTACCTGCCTCCTTCCTATCACCTGTCGTTTATCTTATGCTCTGTTTGTACTCTGGGTTTCTCATAGAAGAAAAGCCATGTGACGTTCTGGTCTCACGGTGCACCCACTTTCCTACAAATGACCCAAAGTTATCCTTTTTCCTGGCCAGGTAGTACTTCACCGTGTACAAATACCACGTTTTCTCCGTTGATCTGTGACACAGACGCCACCTCCAGGGTTTGACTGTCAGCAGTTGTGCCCTTGCACACACGGGTGTGTGGATCAGCACTACAGAATGCCTTTAACTCCTTTGGGAAAATATCAGCAGTGTCAAACGGAACGTCAATGCCTAATTTTTTGAGGAGTTTCTATAGTGGTTGTGGGGAAAGAGGGAGACAAACTTTATTGGAAGCAATAGAGTGACTTCTAAAAAAGCTACCCTTGGAGACGCGTTTGATTGACACCAAAGCGATCAGCACCCAGCGCGCAGACACTCTGAGGACACAGGACGGGGAGGAGAGGGGTGTGGCTGGCCATGGCAGCACAGGGCCAGGCGCTCTGGCGAGGCCCAGCGCCGTGGCGGAGAAGAGGCTCAGCCCCGAGCCCCCAGGCCCTGCCGCAGGATGCGCAGCCGGGACAGGACCACGTCCCAGTCGGCGTAGGCGCCCTCCAGATGCCGCGTGATCTCCGTGCCTGCCTCGTAGCTGCGCCGGCCATGCAGCAAGCGCCAGTTGTCGAAGGTGATCACATCGCCTGGGGGAGAGACGGGGTCAGGGCGGTCTGGGTGGCAGTGATGCCCAGTGGACATCGGAAACCTACAGCCGTGCAGCTCCGGGCCGTGATACACTGTGCCCTCTCCGTCTCCTTCCGGAAAGGCTCTTTCCGGTTAGCAGCGTCAGATGCTGCTAAGGACAGGGATGGCGCACAGAGTGGGAGCTCTTCTGTTCAAGCAGAGGAGATGGAGGCTTCACCGAGCTGGGGAACCGTCCCAAAGCCACTGCAGGATGGAGCTTGATCCCAGCTGGTGAGTGTGTGTGTGTGTGTGAGTGTATGTGTGTGTGTTTTCCTATGCTGTTTCCATGTCACATATTCCCACGCTTATAGTCAGTCGATTGTGTCTACTGGGCAATGGATTTATGGATCTTCCTAGTATAAATTTATTATGCAAAGATCAGTTGGAAACAATTTTGGCCTGGTGTGGTGGTGCCTATGATCCCAGCGCCCGGGAGGCTGAGGTAAGAGAACTGTGTGAGTTCGAGGCCAGCCTGGACTGTGTAGTGAGACCTTGTCTAAACAACAACAACAATAACAACAACAACAAAAAAAAACCCACAACAACAACAACAAAACCCAAAACAAAACAGTTTTAGCTGGGCACAGTGGTGCCCACTGCCGTCTCAAGCACTCAGAAGTGAGCTTAGGAGTTCAAGACCAGCTGGGCTATATAGTAAGACACTTAGAGAAAGAAAGAAAGAAAGAAAGAAAGAAAGAAAGAAAGAAAGAAAGAAAGAAGAAAAAGGAAAAGAAATAGAAGCAATTACAAGTAAGAAGAATCATCCATTTGGCTAAATTAATTGCAGAAAGAAATAATGCCTTGTATTATAGATAACAAAATCTTGACATTTAAGAAATATAATGCATAGAATGGTGACTATAGTTAATAATGAGGTATTGTATTCTTTTTAAATTCATTTTGATTTTCCAGTGCTGGGGAATGATCCAGGCCCTGCGTATAGAGGTACATTTTTAATCCTTTTAAGCAATTTTAAAGGTTTGAAACAGGATCTCAGTAAGAAACCAAATGGCCCAGGGCTGGCTCCAATTTATCTTCCTGCCTCAGCCTTTCCAGGTTTTGGGTATGAGCTACCACACCCACTTTTTTCAAAGTTGCCAACAAAGTAGATTTTATATTTCACCACCATAAACATGATAAATATGTGAGATGAAACATACATTTCGTAGCTACACTTACATTTCTCAGTATATATGCATCTCCAAAACAGCATGTTGTGTGTGATAAATTATACATTTTATCAAGTAAAACCTAAGTAGAAAATAAAAATGGTTCAACTTTGTGGCACCTCACTTGCTAAAGATGGTCTATGTTATGATTTGAGTCTAGGGGCCCCCAACTGTCATGAAGTCATGGAGGCAGTTGAATCTAGTGTTTGTAATTGATTCCTTGTTTTGTGCTGGGATTAACTGTGTGAGTGCTGTACATACCCAGGGAGGGAGCTGGCATCCAATATAAGGGAGGGAAGGAAGCCTGCTTTACTTTTTCTTGTCCTTTTTGCTCTTGCTATTTATGGGCACCATGATATGCCCTTCAGCCCCACTATGCCACCCTGTCTTCTAGCCAGCTGAATATGGACTGAAACCTCCAAAACTGTAAGCTAAATAAACCTTTCCCTCCCTAATTTTGGCATCAGATATTTTGTCTCTGCAACGAGAGAAAAGTAACAGAGACAGTCTAGAAAAAAATTCTGTAAGTTCTGTGAATAAAGATTACTTACCTATTTTAAGGTGAGAACTGTGAGCATAATTTTGCTTACTGGGGCACTATAGTTAAGTGCAAGCCTTGGCTTGCAATGATGGTCTAGCAGGATAGAAAATACAAGATACTGGTCTTAATATTAGACCTGAAGTCTGTTAGGCCTGCAGTTTGTCCTGCAGGTATTATCGTTTGGGTTGGACATCCTTAAAACCTGGAGTGTTTGGGTTCCGGGGGCTTTCAGAAAGAGGCAGGGCTAGGGGTCTGCTGGGTGAGCAAAGCTGGTCGATCGCCAAGCTCTGTGGTCACACCGGGCCGCCCTTCATTCCAAAGAGCCAGGCTGGAAAAATCCATCTTTTCTCTTTCTTGAAAAAGGTATGCACTGACCTGGATTCATCTTGAAGGTGAACTTGAGTTCCCTGCTGTTCATGAGGTCCACGAACTCCTTCAGGGCAGCGTAGAAAGGCTGGACTTGCTCCAGGGGAACGTCGAAGATTGTGTCCCTGGTGGCATTGTTGAAGTTGATGCGAACCACCTGGCCTTTGTCGTCCAGCCTGTGGGAGGGGAAAAGTCAGTAGATAATTCATGAAATGCCTAGTTATGTGTATAAGTGTCCCCTTTGTGACAATGTTATCCCTCAGGGGAGTATGGTGTGTCTCGGGGCTTCTTGCATTCGTGGTAGGACTTCCACTGGGGTGTTACCTCCTGTATCACATTGCTGTGAGGCTGTGGGAAAAACTCGTTTTGGACTTCAGAGACATGCACAGTGCTACAGAGAAGTCCAGACCCTTTCCTCAATTTGGTATCTAGTAACTGTGAAGTGAACTAGAAATCTCTCCGAGGTACATTGCTGTGGTTTACGGGAATTACAGGAGCTAAAATGCATTCAGTATTCTCTAAGCCAGTCATATAAGAATGCTACAAATCCCACCTCTGAGGTAGGTGTGAGCTGTTTGGTTTTGTTTATTCTGAAGAAGACCCCGAATCAGCGAGGCCAGGCCATGGAATCAGAGCTCACACGCGGCAGGTAAAGGACTCACTCTCATGTGATGAAACTTGTGACCAATAGGATTGTTGCTTCTCATTCTTAAATGTTTCTCCCTAATTTCTGCATTGGTTTATTTTTTCATTGTATTATATTATAATTAAGTCTTTCAGCGGACCCAAAGACTTTTGTACAAGCAGGACACAAAAATGTCAAAAGAAATGAACCTAATACTGAGGGGACAGTGGTCTCCCTGGACTGAAAATCTTCTTCATTTCATCTCTTGTTAAAAAAATTGTTTTTGAAGTGGGATCAATTTTAACTATTTGATGTTCTCTAGGAATGTCCTTGAGACCTTGTTAATGGCCGTATTTTGGAATTTTGCTGGAAAAAAACATTAAACCTAAGTCAGGTTTCAGATGGCAACTTTTAGTATCACCCTATAGCTCTCTTGTTCAATAGTCTTGAAGAATCTGAAATCTTAATGTGTCTTGGCAGAATCTGGGTTTGCCACACATTTTAACAGGGTTAATATTATGGTCTGACACATGGATACACGGCATCCATGATGTAATGTTTCAATCAGGTTGAAATCATCTAAAAACCATCACTTTTAAAGGTCACCTGTGAGTGCTTAAGGGGTCTGTTATGGTCACTAAAAATCCTGCATCCTTTCTTCTTTCTCACCTCAACAATTGCCTCCTTCCAGAGTAACTCGGGTTTATCTTGATCTAGATCCTATTCTTGCTTCTGATCACCCTGTGACACCTCTCACCCTGTATGTCAGTAAAACAGTGTATTTCTCTCTGCTCGAGGTATTAAAAACAGCTCCTTCCGCACATGCTGGAGCTACGGCCAGGACCTCTGCTGTCCAGGAACCGTTGTCTCTAGCCGGGCTCTCTCAAAGCTTCCTATTCCATTCTATTCCTGTCCTGGTTCTTTCCCACTGTATCAAAGAAGAGATAAAGGACAGCGATGCCTCCCCTCTGCTCAAACTCCACGTCGTTCACTGTCACTGGGATCAGAAGTAATGCCTTCCTAGTTGCTGGGGATCTTCTGCACCTCCTGGTCCCCCTCTGAGCTGCTATCCTTAACCCTGTCCCCAACCATGTCCAGTCATGCCGGCCTCCTGCTGTCCCTTGAACATCCCGGACACCCTCCTAAGCCTTCCTAGAACCTCTGCCCTCCTGGTGTCTGGAAACTGCTTCCCAAAGTCTTTGCTCAAATCTTACTCTCCTGGTGTGCATGACATGAGGTCCAGGCTTACTAAGCCTCTGGATGCCCTTGATGGTTTAATTTTTTATTTATTTATTTTTTGTAGTACTGGGTACTCTTAACTATGTAATAGATTTCAATTGTAAGGTGCTCATTTGTTTTAATGGTTAAAATTAAAATTCTCCCCTTCTCCATTAAAGTGAAAGCTGTCCGAGGGGTCTTTATTTTGTCCACTGATGTATCCCAAGTATTTAAGAACAGTGGCCTCAATACATATTTGTTGAATGAATAAATGAACTCTCTCTCTGTATATGACATATGAATAACTGGAGATCCGGGGATTTCATTATCAATTTAATTTATACAACTTGGCCATTTGTCATAAAAGAATACAAAATTCTCAAATTGGAAAAAATCCCTAATATTAACAGAGGTTCAATGCACTGCATTGTGGCAGAGTAACATACCTTAAAAGCGAATTCTCAAGTGGAAAGATAAATACGTGGCTTTTGCAGACACAGGAGAAATTATGATACAATATTAAAAAGACAGAGACATAAAACATTGTCTGGAAGCACTACATGACCTTAGCTGCTCGGGGTCTTCTAGGGGAGACAACTCCTTCACCAGGTGAAGGGCTTGGCTGAGCCAAGTCTGTGCCTGCGAAGACCAAGTCACCCTGGCTGCCTGGAGTCCTCTAGCACCGGCCACGGTGAAGGCTCCAGGGCTGACTTAGGCGCAGGCTGGGCAGGGGCTGCCCCAGCCTCGTCACAGCTCTGAGGAACAACAGTGCTCTCTGCTGTGCTTAGAAAGTCTAAGGCTAACAAAAACTTGGAGATGCCAGGATCATTTTTAAGCATGAAGCCAAACCAGAAAGCTACAGAGAAAAGAGACCGGATGGTAATGCTCAACTTCTCAGTCCACCTGCTTTGGGGCACAGACTTTCACTTCCAGCCCAAAGGATTCTGACCAGCACAACTGCATCGATTAGGGCTAATATTTTAAAAATGAAGTGTGTAGGACATCATAGGTACTTTCTCTCTAATGCTGATCAAGAACAGACTTTCTGTAACTTATTAAAGAATTTTAAAGACAGAAATAAGTTCTTTTTCTCTCTGTTGTACTAACAATATATTGAAGGTAAAGAAAATAGAGTTTAGAGCTCATCAAAGCTTTCTGCTTAAACTTCAGACTTTTGGAGCTCTTTCTGATACTTGTTTTAGTCCTGTGAGAAATCAATATCATGAAAGTACTCACTCTATAATTTTGTGTTTAGATTGCACAGAGAAGTCACAGTAATCCACGCCAATGTCTGTGAAGTCCACAAAGGTGGATGACAGAATCTGGAAAGCCTGGGGGTTCTTCTCCTTGAGCTTTTGGCACACGTTAAACCCATCCACGATCTCCGAGTCGCCCCCCGTGACGGTCTGCTTAATGCAGTGCAGAAGCTGAACCTAGGACAGAGAGGGAGAGACGGATTTTAAAACAGCTGCACTTCCTCTCCTGGTGCCACAAAGGGATGCATGCGCCAAAATTGACCCATCTTTAAAAATCTCCGTTCCCCTAGCACCACCAGAAGAGGTGCCAAGGAGGAAAAAAGCTGCTCATAACCAGTGCTGTGTACTTCAGACCTGTGAGACCCGGGCATGGCAGGGTATTGTGTGCTCGTGAGCCCTTCCTGCCTGGGAGGTGGTGGGGGCAGGCTGGGCAGAGGGCGGTGGGTGAGACCTGAGAGGTATACAGCTGGATGAGCGCACTGGCAGCACCGCACGTGTGGGTCCCTGGGTGACACTCGCCAGGCTGTGGCAGAGGGCAGGCCTGGGAGGAGGAGGAGGCTGCCCTAGTGGGGCCTGGGACTCTGTCGTGGGGAGTCTTAAATGACAGAAAAGGAAACTGGTACTTCTTGATGTGCTATAGAGGTAGCCCAGCAGAGCAAGTTGGAGGTTGGTCCAGCGGAGGTGCAGATGAGGTATCATTTGCGGGGTGATGGGCCAAACAGGAGCTTTCTGAGATTCTAATATGCAAAGGTAAGAAACCAGTGGGGGAAAGTGCGGGTGGCAGGGGTGGGCAAACCCACGCAGAGCTGGGGGTAGGAAACCAGAAAGACGGTCAGTCCTGGTTAGTTTTACTAAGTGTTGTTTTGTTTTGGAGGAGGGTGTTTAACTTTATTTCATTCTGAAAAGCAAATCACAGCAGAGTATGGGTGGGTTTGGGAGGTGCTTTTGCTAAGTCGACACAGATGAGTGATTTTAGTGTCTAAATTTAGACCTGAGTTTTCTGCATAAAGAAATGGCAACCTTCAGTGACGAGATGGTCACTACGAAGCTGAAGTAAAACCCATGGAATACCAGTGTCTGACTTTACTCTAGAACGCTCCAGGCGCAAATGTCCAGCCTGAGGAGGCTCCAGGGCTCAGTGGGGGGACACTCGGCCAGCTGGGTCTCCTCGGGATGGTTCTGAGCAGTGCCCCCTGGGGACGGAAGTGTCCTTGGAGTCCTGCGCGGTCAGCATTGGGTCCCCAGGGCTGCTGTGCTCTGGCAGCATGTGAGGGTGACTGAAGAAGTGAGGTATACATTTCATTTCATCTTAAGTTAAGGTTTAGTCGTGCGGCTTGTTGCTTCCGGGTTAGTGCCGCTCTGCATCTTGCACTGCCCCCAAAACAATGCAAATTCCCCAATGTTTATCATTTTGTGTACAACTTCTTCTCAAACTGTAATTGACTCATGTAGGTTATTTTCCTAGCAGTCTTCTGAATTGGACACTTTCATTTTCATTTTTGCAGGTGTAAGGACTGAGATACATGCTTTTGAATTAGTTGGAGTTCGGTAGATTTGAGCTTGATTTTTCTGTGTTAAAAGTGAAATTACACAAAAGACGATATTACTTGCCATGGCCATACCTAAAACATATCAGCTGGCTTTTCAAAAACCTAAGAGGTGAAGCACTCTGTGAGTTCATTATGGCAGAATCTGAAGGGATTTAAATATTCTTTCTTCCCCTGCAACCAGAACTGGCCAGGTTGGGCTCTCAGCAGGTGCCTCTTCGCCCAGATCATTTTCTCTCGACTTAAAGTAACACTGCCTTTTCCCCTTTGTTACAGAAAACCACAGACTTTGGCACCAGGAAACCCCTGAATCACTCAAAATGGAAGCCCGAGCAGTGGTACAGACAGGTCAGGCCTGGGTTCAACTTCTACTCCCCATTAATCACTTGTGTTATGGATTAAGAACTGGGGGTTAACTTAAGGCCAGCTGGATTATATCAGCATGGCCCTGAGTGTAGATGCTCCACCTGAGGAAAGTTGCCAGCATAAATAGAGAAGTGGAGAAAGAGAAGCTATTGTGTTGAGGTGTGGAGGCATTGTGCGTTCTCCTATGTGCTGCTGTTTGAGCCACTGATTCTCCTGCAGAAGCTCTGGTCCTCACATCGAGGATCGCTTCCTGGCTCCAGAGGGGAAGACGTGTGCCTCTTGGTCTCCAGGATGAACTCGTCATGCTGCTTTCTGGCATGTACTTAGCTGTGCTTGTCGTTGGAGGAGCTCAGGGCCTCTGTGTTCCTGAGGATGGCTGTGGTGTTTTTCAGGAAAGCCCTGGTCTTTGTTGTGAATGTGACTTCTCCGCTCCAGCATAGAACCCTCATCCCACTAGCACAGCTCCTTCACCACGCTGGCATGGACTTTCTAGCTTCCACTGCTGACCTTCGGGCCTTCCTGGCACAGATCCGTAAAAGAGACTGGCGTGAGTCCTTCTTGTGAGCTCTGGACCTCCAGTTGGACTCGTGGGAGGCACTGTCATGAGCTCTGGGTTTTCATCTGGACTCATGTGGGACATTGCTGTGGGATTCGGGACATTGCTGTGGGATTCAGGCCCTTGGCTGAATATTCTATGTTTTTGGTGTTGCAGATAGATTTCCTGCATTTTCTTGTGTTAACTCTGGGTGACCATCATAAAACAATATTATAAACTCCATGTCCTGATTCTAATTGCAACAACTCATCACCAGATAAAACTGTTTCATCTTAGGCCTCGTTTCTTCATCTTACATGAAATGACAATGAATCCTGCCTACCTTTGAGGAACGTCAGGGGAATCAGATGAAGAAATATAAGTCAAAGTGCTCTAAAAAGCAGGAAATATTATGAAAATGTCAAGCATATACTATACCATACTTCAGGAATATTTATGAGGTCACTTACCCACCTTTTCTGAGGTTTTCCATTAATTCAGAGACAAAACTTAAACTCATAAGATACTTTAAAAAGTTTTAAATAGAACCTTTAGTTTTCTGTTCTCATTCTTCATGTTTTATTCCATCCAACCACTCCAAGTAATCTTTGGCAGATGAGTTGAGCTGATTAGTTTGGATTTAACATCAGTTTCAGAAAATCTCAGAATTGCATTTAGAATAAATCACACTGAGCATCTCCCTCCCCAACTCCCACCCAAAAAGGTACCTATAGGGGCCATTTTTCTGTCATCATCTAGTTCAAAGAAATCATGTGGAATTTTATAACCAGCAAAATAATTTAAAACATATGAAGTCAAGTAATAGGCTAGCTTAGCTAATACCGTCCAGAGGAATGGGTGCCTTGAAGATATGGTGATAGAAAAGCCAATTAATTTTGATTTTGGCCCATTCTCATTCTTTAACTCAGGAATCAATCAGATTTTCATTTACTTTTGAAGAGACGTATTTCCGTGTGGTTATTTCATGCATTCCATTTAGTTCTAAATAAAGGGGCAAAATATCCTTTAAGGGAGTATTCTGAGAATTGGTTTTTGTTTGCTTGTTTAGAAGAATAATGATTTCATAAAAATGAATTTGGTTTAGTAAAATGGGAACTTTGTGAAGATACAGGGAAGAACTTTCACTTAGGTATTCTCCTAGGGAATTTCTTTGTTTGCTAAAGAAGCATCACAGTCTTTGATAGGGAACCTGACCGATTGGGATAGAGTTTTTTGTTTCCAAAAGAGGAAGATTATTCTGATCTTATATTCACATCCTTTTGTAATTCATGTTTGCGGCTTTTCCCTTGAAGAGTGCCTTCATCTCTTGATTCTGGGCCTGGTGCAGGAATTGCAGAAGACACGCTGGGCTGATGCTTAGCCTGGGCCCTGAGAATCTTCCCGTGCTTCAGTTTGCTCATGGAAGAGTTCCCAGTTTCTGTGTGCAGAAGCCTGGACTATCCATTGCCCCTGGGGCTAACAGACCAAGTCGGGCAGAGAACAAGCCAGCGCCAACAGTGCTCAGCATTGTCTATTGTCATGTGACCTGCAAGCAGGAACCAATCAGCCAGTCAGAGCCCAAACAGTATGCCAAGCTAAGAGCATGGCTAAGCCATCAAGTGAAGCAGCATGCTTTTCTACAGCAGTCACTGCTGCCAGTGATGGCCATGTGACCTGACCTGCCTGGTTCTATTTTCTTTCTGAACTTTCCAAAGAGTAATATATGTGCAGCAAGACATCAAGGTGCACCACTGTCCTAAAATCTGTCTTGGCAAAGCAGAGTGCCAATAATTATTTCTAGGTTGAACAAAGAAATGTTTTAAAAACAATGCACAGAAGGGGCCTATCTCTCAGGGATGCTGAGTACACGCAGCATTTAGACACAGAGACTCGGTTTGGAGAAAGATTCCCATAAGACGAATGAGCTGCTGGAATGCATGATCTTCTCCATCAAAATACAGGAGGCCACGGGTCTGGCCTGACTTCTGGACTGAGTGATGCCGCCCCTCTTACCCCAGGTGGGTGGTGGAGAGCTGCGTAATCGGTGTGGAAGCTCAGCTTCCCAGTTGTGTAAGCCACGTTGTTGGCGTTGATTTTGTCTTGCACTTGCCAAGTGTGTCTGTAAAATGAAGGGAACACGTGTGTGAATGGATTGTCCCTGCACAAGAATTTGATATCTGAGGGGAAATGGAGGCTTTTCATTTTGTGAAATAGTTGTTCTAATGACCTGCCGGAAAAGGAGGCAGACGCTTCTTTTTCTACAGCAATTATTTTGGAATTAAGATCTCATTTCTCTCTTCCACCAAAGAGTGCACTCGCACATTACTTTTAAAAGATTTCTATCATTCCACACTAAAACCTCTTATCCAGATTTTAGTTGCCTTTTGCTGGTACAAAATACCTGACAGTTACAAATGAAAGGGGGAGAGGTTTGTTTTGGATGAAGGTTTTAGTGGGTTCAGTTTATGGTTGACTGGTTGCAAGACAGAAGCAGCATGGTGGGAAAGCATTGGGGTGCAGCTGATCAACCCATGGCAGCCAGCAGATTGAGAGAGGGGAGGAGCAAGAGACAACAACGCACCCTTCAAGGTCTGCTGTGCCTCCCCAATAATCTGTCTCCTCTGATCAGGTTCCACTAATGGACATATGACATGTGGGGGGACGGTTTTCCTCATCTGTCGGTATAGAGGAGTCCAAGCCTAGCTAAGTCCCAACCCTTCCACAACCTATATTCTAGAGTTTTTGAGTTTAAACTAAACTGGCCCCGAATTGTGAGTATGTAATGCACTAGCTGTATAATCTTGGACAATTTATTATTTCTGAGCTCAGTTTAAGTATTTGTGAAACAGAATGATAATATCTGCCTTGAAACCTGCTTCAACAAGCCCAAGGTCTACACCTGACATGTGGGAGATGCTTTCTAAGGCTCTTGGTCCTTCTCAGGACTTCTTCCTGCACTCAGGACTTCCAAAGCATTTCTTATTTGTTTCATTCATTGGAGCTGAAATTGTTGGGTGTTTTGTGATGATAGTTATAAAGTATCCTTATCGGTCTGATCTCATTTAGATATTGCATAACTCTGCTTCTCTCCTGGATTATAAACTTTTTGAGTGCAGAACGAAGATTTTTACTCTTCTCCTACTATCTAATCCAGCATCAGTCCTAAAGCAGGGAACCAATAAATACTGACTGAAGGAACAGGGGCAGAGGGTGACTTTCCTGAGTCTGTTTTCACTTGGTAAAGGGTAGGGGTAATAAGGTGATAGCCACAAAAAGGTGGGAAGCTACACAACACCGAATCCCTTTTCCACTCTTCTTTTAGGAATACAACCAAAACCTCTTGCTACATGTGGAAATCTCTCTCTCTCTCTCTTTCTCTCTCTCTTCCCTCCCTTCTCTCTCTTCCTCTCTCCCTCTCTCCCTCTTTCACCCTCTCCCTTTCTCTTTCCCTCTTCCCCCCATCCCTCTCTCTCTCTCCAGGCATTTTCTTTTGTTATGGTGCTGGAGATTGAACTTTGGGCATCTTGTACTCTAGCCAAGTACTCTATCAAAGAGAATATTTTCCTGAGTGAAAGTAGGACTTCTTAATTGTTATCTAGGGCTGAGAAAGAAACAGCTATTTTGACATCATTTTTCACTTAAAATTATAATTGAAAAGTTGGTATATTATCTATTGAAGATCAAACACCACCCATATGTGGCTGTGCAATGGGAAGAGACCTGACAAGAAAGGAGAATATATATCGCCTGTCACAGCTCATTTCAAATAAGAGGTAATTCATTACATTGCAGGGTTTGTAGCTCACAAACTCATGTTCCTCATGAAGTTTGCATAACACCATAGCCCATATAAATACAGATTCAGGCTATTGTCAGTATTGGCATTTCACGAAAAATCAACATGCAGAGAAGAAATTAAGAAGATAAAAACAATTCCATCAAACCATAGAGCACGTGTATAGCACATGCCAAATTAAAAAGACAATGCCATTATTACCATTGGCAGGAGAAGCCTGTTCAAATCTCCTTTCTAAAGGTAATTTTGGTTTTGCATCGATCTCTTTATGTTTCTTTTCTTGGTTTATCCCATGAGCAAGGGTTAATGGTCCAAGTTTTGCTAAAGCCACAAGCTGGCTCAATTCAAGGTATAAGCTTTATTCAAAGAATAATTTTTCCTTTGTTTACGTTAACCAGCTTCTGCAGGGATGGGCTGTGACTTAACTCCATCAGAAGTTCTCTGGTCTCTGACCTAACTGGCAGAGGATGGTAGTGAACATCTCTAGCTCTGGAATGTCTTGGATATGGTGTGCAAGGTATGGTTTAAGAGTCTCCACTTTTGAAATACGACACTGCCTAGTAAAGGACTCACCAATGCTGAGCACAAAACATTCTCCTAATGGGCCCAGTACAAGCCTGGAACAGTACTCAAAAAGTCATTTGTCTCTCTCCCTCATCACTTCCTCGTAGAAATTAATCATGCTAAGAAAGCTGCTGCTGATTGCTACATATCCACCCCAAATTCAAATCTTCAAGAAAACCATACAAATAAGTGTAAACGTGATACACTTCCTGTAGAGGAACAGCTTTTTGAAGCCAATGTGTGGTCCCTCAGTGAGCAGACAGTGTACTCCTATGTACTTGTGAGAGACAGATTCTAGCATTTCAGCACACCAAGCGAGGGACAGAGAATTGCTGGACAGAAGCTGGGTGTGGGCACCCTGCCTCTTGCTCAGCATAACTTCTGAATCCAGCAGTGTAGACTTGTTTGCTATGGTGTTGAAGCAGGTAATTGTAACCTTACTGATATTTCTGTGTTCACCAAAGATGTTATTATGAACAAACCCAGGTATTGCTGCTGGTCTGTTCATGCTTTTCTCAACATTCCACCAGAATGTTCTCTTACATTTCCATGTTAAAGAGATTTGTTGAAATCTCCTATGTTTTAACACCATGACTTTTAGCGATGATTTGTTGGATTGGTTTGCACGCTAACTCACTAGATGTTTCCAGATTTCCTTGGTGATTAATCATGGATATGTTTACGATGTGAATAGTGCTTTGTGAAATCTGTATTCTTGATTAGTGTGGAAGATTTGAACATTGTCCTTGCTGGGTTAATTCTTTATATCTTTAGTGATAGATTTCACAAGTCTTTTGGTTAATGGTTCACACTTGGAAAATCATGTTGGATTAACTTAGAATCTTTTTTTGTAATAATTCTTTAATATGAAAAAATGTTCTTTGTGTGGAAACCTGGATTTATTATCAATAGCACCTACAGCCTCTAACCAACCTAACCTTTCTTATAGTATTAGCCAAGCATACCTTATATTGAGCATTATCACTCACCCTTGGGATCCAGAACAAAATGCCCATGTGCTATTTTTAAAATTCAAACTAGAAAATGAACCCCTAGTTGAAACAAGTGAAAACCAAGATTTTGAGCTATCTAAAGAAATATCACATTGCTTAGTATAGTTATGACGCTCCCACATGTGACTTCCTGGTTGAAGTTCTCACCAAAGCTCCAGATAACTGTTTTCCCATTATCATGCATCACACACCTACAGTGGTCCAGGAACTGGGGATCCAGAAGTGAACAGACCAGGCATGGTGCTAGCAGTGTGTAGGCATTTTCACTCATGGGGAAGATGAGCTGGTATAATTTACCTTATAAAGCTGAAGTTCAAAGTGTCGGGGAAAAAAAGTGAAAATTAGGTAGGATTAACCTAGGCCAATAGAAGAATCATGACAGGCAAGAGAAATAGCAAATGGAAAGGCAGAGATTGTGTGTGTGTGTGTGTGTGTGTGTGTGTGTGTGTGTGTGTGAGAGAGAGAGAGAGAGAGAGAGAGAGAGAGAGAGAGAGCGAGCTATGGAAGCAAGAGAGAAAAGACCAATATGGACCTGAACAAGATCTTTCAGGTCCACATTGGTCTTTTCCATGGGTCCACAGTGTGTCTGAAAAGATGCACAGGTTACTAAGAGATGTCCACTCTTCCAGAAGTGCAGCAGGGTAGGATGTGGATTTGGGAGGAGTTTTCCTCATCCCAGGTCGCCGACCCCAGGGTGAAGGGATCAGAACAGTCAAGTCCTCATGGATTCTAGAAACTACGCAGACAAATCTCTCTACCATACGCGGCTTCCTTCTGAGAAAAACTCCACTATCAACACAGACAAAACAAAAAGAAGGCCCAAATGAAAATGAGAAACTAGATCAAGAAGGTCTCAGAATGTTATTAGTTATTAGCTACTGTTGTGAGATAGAGCTTACAATCACAAATTAAAGACTCCTTGGTCATGTCGCCTCTTCATAGTAAACAAAAACAAAACCCAGGAAAACTAATTTTCTGAAAAATCAGCAACAGGAAACAAAAGTTTAAACTTAAAATTGGTTTAAGAAAAAAGCTAGAATAAGTAGCAAAATGACATGTCTACCAATATCATGTACCTGAAGATGAAAAATACCATACTCAAAGGATGAAAAACATTATAATTTTCTATTTCTGATTTCTATTCTCTACCTATATCTAATGAATCCAACATCTTAAACGAAATGGTGCAACATGTAAAGAATAATTTACAAAAGAATTAGAAATCCAGTATGGCTGGACAAAATGGAAAAAAAAGCTAAAAATCATTCAACAAATAAAGATTAAACTGGAAGGAATGTAACATCAAATAAGAACAACACATAATAACTTTAGGTAGTTAGGAGATAAAGGGAAGAAAAACATAAACCAGAGAGAGGGAGAGAGAGAGATAGGGAGACAGACAGACAGACAGACAGACAGACAGAGACAGAGACTATAATTTGCATATAATTTGAGGAAGTAATAAAAGGACAAATGATTTAATACGTGCATAACAGGAGTAGAGAAAGGAAGGAACTGAGAGTAAAGAAACAGAACAAATACAGAAAACTGCTAGTCAAGAAAATTTTCCTAAAATAAAAAAATTTGCAACTACACTTTGAAAGACCAAACCATATTGTCCCTCCCTGAAAAAAATTAACCTAGAACAACCAGCACTGAGACAGAATCTGTAAAATGCCAGTTTAAAAATGAAAGTCTTTTTGACATTCAGCTAAAAACATCAAACTGTTTATAAGGTGCAGAAAA